AAAGAAAAAAATATTTTCAATTGTAAAATTTATTCATGTACTTCTTATATACTATTACATTGGTTATAATCATAAAAAGAATCATTTTTTTGTATACAAAATATATGAATAAAGACAAAAAAAACAAAAAAAGATCCTTGTTCTATTTCATTCGTCATTTCAGCTGTACTCCCCTCATCANAAAACTCTTTTGTGTGTAACGAGTTCGAATTTTGTCGTTTTTGGGGGTAATGACTGGCTGTGATTCCCATTTTTTCATCCTCTAAATATGACGAAAGTTTATCACTACTGCTTGCCATAAAACGGAATGAGTCAATGAATTTCAAGTGGACTCTTGTCGATTTAACCGATTTCGTGAAGGAAACGTATTTCTTTTTAGTAATTGGAAGTAATGTCACTGCAGCAGGGGAGAAGCTCAAGAGAATTTATGTTAAGGGTGCAGAGAAGAAAGCATGGTTGCCGAAAATTTGCAGTCCTNTTAGATTCTCCTCCGGAATACTGCAACGTTGGTGAACCCTTTTCGATATGATTGCAAAAATTCTCAAATTGTTTAGGATTATCCTCAAAAAACTTGGCCAACCTGTTATTCACGAAAACAGAATGAGCATTCGACAAATGCAAAATGACTCCTACACCATATTTTGTCTCTACTTTGAAGGCTGCAGTGATGGTGTACACATAGTTACGCTGCAATTGAGATATTTTTATCAGGGGCAGCTCTTTGAACTCTGCGACAGCGTTGATAACGTCAAAATTCACCTCATCAGCAGGGCTTGCAAGCAGCAGCATTGGATCGGGGTGAAGGCGGATATTGTGGTATTTTCCTCCCAAATATTCCAATGTTATTGTACCTTTTCCGATATATTTTTGGAAATTCTCGAACATCTTTATATTCTCAGTGAAGAACTTGGCCAGTCTAGTATTCACAAAGACTGAATGAGAGTCCGAGAGATGGATAATGACACCCACTCCATATTTTGTATTCACCTTGCGAGCTGCGGTGATGATGTAGGAAGCTCCAGCTTCCAAATCCTCAATTTTCACGAGAGGAAGATCTTTCAATTGTGCCACAGCGTTGATTTTGTTGAAATCCATGATGAATTTTCACTCGAGTATCAAAATTAAGCTTGAATTTGAGTCTTCTGAAGATTGCAGCAGTGTCAGTGTCGCAGCAATGTCACTGCGAAACTGTATAACTTGTTTCACTTCTTGAATGTTCTTGAGGNAATTTCATTGTATTCCCCACCCAGGTATTCCAACTTGGCTGATCCTCGCTTGATTTCATCCAACAAGCCATCGAATTGTTTGGGATTTTCGATGAAGAATTATGACGTCCTTTGGTTCAGGAAAACTGAATGGGCATTATTTAAATGAACGATTACTCTCATTCCATACTTTGTATTAACTTTCAAAGCTGCGGTAATGGTGTATCGAGTGTTCAATGCCAGCTGAGACAGTTTGAGCAGTGGGAGTTCTCTTAATTCAGCATTGATTTTGTCGAAATGCGCTTGATCTGCCTTATTTTCAACTTTCACGTTCGGATCAGGTTGCATGAAGACGGCGTTAGATTCTCCTCCGGAATACTGCAACGTTGGTGAACCCTTTTCGATATGATTGCAAAAATTCTCAAATTGTTTAGGATTATCCTCAAAAAACTTGGCCAATCTGTTATTCACGAAAACAGAATGAGCATTCGACAAATGCAAAATAACTCCTACACCATATTTTGTCTCTACTTTGAAGGCTGCAGTGATGGTGTACACATAGTTACGCTGCAATTGAGATATTTTTATCAGGGGCAGCTCTTTGAACTCTGCGACAGCGTTGATAACGTCAAAATTCACCTCATCAGCAGGGCTTGCAAGCAGCAGCATTGGATCGGGGTGAAGGCGGATATTGTGGTATTTTCCTCCCAAATATTCCAATGTTATTGTACCTTTTCCGATATATTTTTGGAAATTCTCGAACATCTTTATATTCTCAGCGAAGAACTTGGCCAGTCTAGTATTCACAAAGACTGAATGAGAGTCCGAGAGATGGATAATAACACCCACTCCATATTTTGTATTCACCTTGCGAGCTGCGGTGATGATGTAGAAAGCTCCAGCTTCCAAATCCTCAAGTTTCACGAGAGGAAGATCTTTCAATTGTGCCACAGCGTTGATTTTGTTGAAATCCATGATGAATTTTCACTCGAGTATCAAACTTAAGCTTGAATTTGAGTCTTCTGAAGATTGCAGCAGAGTAGTCGAATGTCACTGCGAAACTGTATAACTTGTTTCACTTCTTGAATGTTCTTGAGGAGAAGATTTAAACGTTTCTTAAATTCCTGTCGCTGGAGACTGTTCTTCATAGAGAACGATGTACCGAACTGATGGTGGACATAGAGATTTTGTTGGTTATATACATCAACCCCCACTCTTATACCCTCCACTTTCAACATTAAATAAACAAATACACATTATTTAAACAACGATTTTCCGAGAAATGGGAGTGGTAAACATAAAAGGGCCGGATATCCCAAGTAGATACAAGTTCGTACATGTCTGGAAAATGTCAAGTGGGTCGGTGAAGTCAAAGGGTCAGAAATCCCAAGTTCGAAGATGTCTGGAAAGTGTCAAGGGGGTCGATAAACATCAAAGGACCGGAAATCCCAAGAAGTTCGATGCTGTCCGTGGGGGGCTGAAATGGCTGACCCCCAACTGTGAAGAACTCAAGTCGGCTATATCAAGTGGACCCTCTCTGACGCTTGCAGGTTCAGACATGTTTGAGACCATTCCTCACCAGCTCATGAATTGGAATCACGAATTAATTGATTCGTGCTTCAATCAACCCTTTCACCCACCCACCCCGCGGGGTGGAATAATTCAGTCGTGAATAGTTTCCACTGAAGTCCAATAATATGTTAATTAATTAATCAATTAATTGGCCCGCGAATTAATTAACCCTTTCACCCACCCACCCACCCCCTCACGCGGGACGATTAATTATTCGGTGGGTGACTCTCTCTAGTACCCAAAGCGTGAATTAAAAGATTAATCCGCGAATCAAACCGCGACCCGCGAATTAATCAACCCTTTCACCCATCTTCTCGCGGGGGTGGGTTGAATACGTTGTCAATCAAACTCCTTTCAATCAAAAAATTGGAAATGAATTCATCAATCCGCGAATCAAACCGCGAATTAAACCGCGACCCGCGGATTCATTAACCCGTTCACCCACCCGACCCACTCGCGGACTACCATCCAACACTTGGTCAACCAAAACGTTGATCCAGAACTCCCCCTATCACACTATTCAAGGCGAACTCCATCAGATGGTAGAGCATTGCAGCGCACATTTCAGAATTTATACCCAGAGACTCCAACGCTTTCAATTGTGTTTCACGTTGATCACACAGTCAACACGACGAGATTTTCTTATGCGACTGGGGAGTATTGGTAAGAACAAGCTTGAGTAATTCACATGAACAACAACAATTTAATGAATGAATATGGTACTTCCATTATCGACAAAATAGAAGGGACATTGCGCATCCACCATCTTACAAAAGATGGCAGGTCATTCCAGAACCATGAAAAGAAGATAAATATCACCTTAGCGTCATGAATGTTAGGTTGCATGTACATGAGCGGCAAATATTTTTTTTTTCGTAATTACCAATCATCACAATTTTCTTAACCCTCCTACAAAAGTAAACTTTCCAATTTTTTTTCAAGTTTTAAAATGTTTTCTAATAGTTCAATAACCAGATTCAGATTTAGACCTGACAAGTTTAAATAAATAAAATCATTGTAAAATGTCCGGAAACTTTGGGTTAAATGGGGCTCAAATAACACCTCTGATGTTCGACTAGAAAAGTAGAAAAGCATTCCACTACAGAAAATGTACTCAATGTGCTTGTATATCCTCAAGTTCAGCTTATTATTAGAAAAAAATATTACGGAGTCCATTTTGCCCTAAATTCATTGCACTTTCGACTGGAAAAAAAAATAGATACACAGTAAAACTGTGCATCAATGGTATTTTCCATATATACGTGGGTACAAAAGGCCTTAGATGCATGGTAAATGTTACTTCCCGTCTACGATAATTAATATACACCGTGTATCTAGACATTGCCTGTACAATTCCTCGATTTCAATGATCATTAACGCATCTTACATGACGCTTCAGTTGAAAATCTTATCCGCCCAGATACGAAAAAATTAATTTCATCTTAAAAATAAACGACCCAGTTTCCGTTTTATCGCACTGTGTCACGTACGAAACAAAAAATCATGAAAAAACCTAGTAAATTCGGTACAAAATTCTGATGGGTTTCTATAAAATTCTCTAGATGGCCTAAGCCAATTCTATTGGAAAATTCCACTGCTTATCGGCACTTCTTTTTTCAATAGAAAATGTTCAATGAAAAATATACTATAGGAAAAATCAATCGAAATTTAGTTTCCTACATAGGTTATCCTATTGAGACATTTTCTATGGAAATTCCTTGGTTAGAATTTTCTAGTATTTTCGCGTGACTTTTTTATAAAAAAAAACAAGAATAGACTTGGACAATGAATTTTGCGGATCCCTGCAGAAAATGTCTGAATAGGAAAAATTGTATATTATAGAAAGATGAAACTGTACTGATTTTTTCAAATAAATGTTTCTATTGGACATTTCTTCTGAAAAAATGCACATTAAAGCCGCGGAGTTCTGCAATAAATTCGTCTAAAACTGATACAATTTTCAGTTGAAGTTTAATAGAAATCTAATCTAAGAATTTTCTGCAGAATTCGCTAGATTTTTCGATAAAATTTTATCGTGCGTGGAATACTAAAAAGATTCCATTTTGTACCCTTACATGGAACAATATTTTATTCCATTCAAAATTTTCCTGGTTTACTTGAAAAATTTAAAGTTACCATGCGAGCTATTTACCGTAATCGACAATGTGTTCCTTTCATAATTTTATGTAATAAAAATGCATAATCAAGGAATATGCAACATACCGTTTCCTGTGACTCTTGATAAGATGAGTCATCCATCATTGTTGGTGGAATAACAGTCGTAGGGGCACTCGAGATCGATATGAAGAGGTAGAAAATTAACCCAACTGTAATAATCATGTCACAGTTTCCCTAAAATATAAGTAAAAATATTTCCCCCGTTTGCTGTATTGTAAACTGTGTAAACCGAACGAAGAGTATGCACACTGAGAAAAAAAATTATTTTTGCCAAATATTCCGTTACTTGAGAGAAGCATTTATTGTTTCAAAATCTACTTTTTCCTATTGAGTCATTCCCAGGCGAGTCTGATTAAGTTTCAATTATGACAATCATGTTGCTCTAGAGGATGACTATGTTGCATTCGACCTTGGATGAACTCCTCCAATGATTATTCATTTTTCCTATATTTCTCATTTTCTAGAAGGAAGAATATCGATTAATTTTTTAATGTTGATAATTATTGAGGGAGTGCACTCAGGTCATAACTAACATGCTCATATTTTGAAGCAATATAATTATCATAATTGACATCCAATGAAGATTGCCTGGGATTGACTCGGCTGGAGAAATACGGCATTGAAAAAATTAATACTTCTCTCAAGCAAATGAATATTTGACAAAAATAATTTTTTTTTCTCAGTGCACGTGAAAAAAAATAGTGTGAATAGTACGGAATATGAAGGAAATGTTGTGAAACCGGAAACGAACAATCAAGCTAACAGAATGTCGGCCCATACGTACCTTGGATGTCGACATGTTTATTCACTTTTACTGAGAATTGAAATGAATCACAATGCACTGTTGATTACAGCACGACTTTGTCTTTTATAGTTCTACCGTGAATTCCTCAAAAGATTAGCAGGCATCGATAACAATTATATGTTATCCGCTAAATCTCTCATTATTTCGCTAATGAAATCGTCACTGTTCATGACATTCTGCTTAGAGGACATAACGTGTGTTCATCCCACGTGGAATGTAGGCTTCGGTAGAGATAAGATATTAATTAGTGAAATGTTAATTCCTATTCACAAATACGCAGAGATTTGTTATATGTTAGATATGCTTATAAATCAATTCAAATAAATGGAAAATCTATAGTGAAGAACAATCTGATAATAATATCTTCGTTTTTCGAAGACTACTTAGCTGGTAATTAACACTGGGAATTTATGGAAACACGTGAAGATATAAGAGTGGAGGTACAAAGCTCTTTCAGCTCGAGTGCAACTGAGACTCGACTCGGAATAACTAGCTAAGTTGAAAGATTCTAACAATTTAAGAAGATAATTGATTTTAAATATTCAATTTCGCAATCCAACAATAAATTTATAAAATATGTGGAAGTATTTATTACTTATTTTGTGTATCACCGAAGTGTTTACATCTGAAGTTATATCGTCAGGATCGAATGACTCAACGAATGGGACTGATTCATCCAATTCACAAAACATTGAAATTGGAACTACAATGAATTCATCAACACTGACAAAAAGACCGCCAAATGAGGAGGCAAAACTTCCGGTTGATTTACTGAGTGATGACGTCCTCCTAGATCCAAATGTTGTCTTGGCTAGACTATCACGTAGAGATTTAAGTGCCATTGATTACAAAGGGTTGTATCAATCTTTCCATAACAATTGGGAGAGTCGTCGTCGCCGAAACAACAGAAGGACAAACCCCAAGCCTACCGTTGAACGACTGGAGAAATTTAGAGTATATCCAATTTTCCCAGGAAAATGAATTTTTCATATTGTTTTGACGTTGAAAAATAGAAATGCATTTGTGATACCTAAAAATATTTACATGCAGGTATCAGTAGTATTGTTTTTTGCTGGACTTATTCAAAGTGTTTTATTCTCGGTATGAAGTATTTGAGTTCCTAAAATGAATCAGGATTACAATTATTGGATAATCTCATTAGGCTGATTTCATGACAGTAATCTATAAGTCAGATATTATTAGATTACCACCAAAATTCTCATTGTATATTAACCCAATCCCATAAAAATATTCACATCTTTGTATTTTCCGTCCATTGCATACAGAATGTAATAGATGGACCGAATATGTACTGTATGTTGTAAATTATTGAATGTCCATGAAAAAGAAGGTACATGGATTAAATATTAAGATCTCCTATAAAATATATTTTTAATGAGAATTACTTCTTGGTAATTTCTTCTCAAATCAGTGTACTGCTCGTCGTGCCTAATTAAGAGATAAGGCTAGCGATATTACACATAGAAAAACCTTGCCTATTTATTATATTTATTACCAGCAGGTTCTGTTGAATTTTTATTGTATTTCTATTGAAAACGCTATTAATTTTTCGCTGATTATAGTGACAAATTGGAAAATTTCTCCGTCGGTTTTACTTGCGGTTTTACTTGGAAAAAATCACAATATGCAAAGATAAGTATCGGAACTAATTCTCAAAACGTACCTATCAATACGTGTCGCCAGAACCACCTGGACATATATGAGGAACGTAATTGAGGTTATCATTCCGGCAAAGTGGTACGAGAATGATCTCGGAATATAGCGGTGGGGATATTCCGAAATAGATTCGAAACAACGTTTTTGATGTCAAGTGTCGAGTGTCAGGTGAAGTATTTCTGAGAATGACTCATAGTTGGTGCTCATTACGTCCCCAAATTTGTTTCTGGTACGTCTCGACGAAACATTATGGGAAGATTCTATTCCAGAATGTTTCGCTGTGTACCCACCAGAATTGTCCTAAGAACATTCGATTGTATTCTAACCTAGTATCTTTCTAAGGGTTAGTTCCTACAAGACATTTGAAGAAAATTGGGAAAGGTATATGAAAATAGTTTCACTGGATGGAGAAGAGATATTTCACCACAGTACATTTCTTATAATCTCACGTGGATCGGTACTGAGATTGCCTCATAAAAGTCGGAACCGATACATTTCCGATCAATCGGTTCTGTAACTTATTTTAAAACATTTTAGAAAACGGATAAAACGGGATATCCATAGAACGTAAGAGGAACGGCTCACCACGGTGGCTCCCAGTACATGCTTCGATGTTTGGTATGAGGAATGTTTCATTAAAAATGGATATAGTGTTTTTGAGCAATCGTTTTATAAATGTTTTCGCTATTGCTTCCGCATGGAAGCATCGCAATCCTTCAGTTTTCACATTCTCTACACGGAAAAAATATTATTTTTTGTTCCAATTTTTTTGAGTAATTTTTGGTATGGAACATAGCAGTGCAGGACTATACTCGTCATTTGCTAATTTTTGCCATGTACCATACCAAATTCGAGAGAAGAGCAAAATATAATAGATTCATAACTGAAAAAAAGTAGTTCAACATACTAAAATTTATTAAAAAAATCAGCTATAATTTCACTCCGTAATTTGATTTTATAGTACGCGGGTCAAGAAAAATCAACAGGTCGGTTATGAATTAATCAATATAGAATAGTAAATAATAGTAAATAATAAGTAAACAAGTGGTTACNTCATCTTAAAAATAAACGACCCAGTTTCCGTTTTATCGCACTGTGTCACGTACGAAACAAAAAATCATGAAAAAACCTAGTAAATTCGGTACAAAATTCTGATGGGTTTCTATAAAATTCTCTAGATGGCCTAAGCCAATTCTATTGGAAAATTCCACTGCTTATCGGCACTTCTTTTTTCAATAGAAAATGTTCAATGAAAAATATACTATAGGAAAAATCAATCGAAATTTAGTTTCCTACATAGGTTATCCTATTGAGACATTTTCTATGGAAATTCCTTGGTTAGAATTTTCTAGTATTTTCGCGTGACTTTTTTATAAAAAAAAACAAGAATAGACTTGGACAATGAATTTTGCGGATCCCTGCAGAAAATGTCTGAATAGGAAAAATTGTATATTATAGAAAGATGAAACTGTACTGATTTTTTCAAATAAATGTTTCTATTGGACATTTCTTCTGAAAAAATGCACATTAAAGCCGCGGAGTTCTGCAATAAATTCGTCTAAAACTGATACAATTTTCAGTTGAAGTTTAATAGAAATCTAATCTAAGAATTTTCTGCAGAATTCGCTAGATTTTTCGATAAAATTTTATCGTGCGTGGAATACTAAAAAGATTCCATTTTGTACCCTTACATGGAACAATATTTTATTCCATTCAAAATTTTCCTGGTTTACTTGAAAAATTTAAAGTTACCATGCGAGCTATTTACCGTAATCGACAATGTGTTCCTTTCATAATTTTATGTAATAAAAATGCATAATCAAGGAATATGCAACATACCGTTTCCTGTGACTCTTGATAAGATGAGTCATCCATCATTGTTGGTGGAATAACAGTCGTAGGGGCACTCGAGATCGATATGAAGAGGTAGAAAATTAACCCAACTGTAATAATCATGTCACAGTTTCCCTAAAATATAAGTAAAAATATTTCCCCCGTTTGCTGTATTGTAAACTGTGTAAACCGAACGAAGAGTATGCACACTGAGAAAAAAAATTATTTTTGCCAAATATTCCGTTACTTGAGAGAAGCATTTATTGTTTCAAAATCTACTTTTTCCTATTGAGTCATTCCCAGGCGAGTCTGATTAAGTTTCAATTATGACAATCATGTTGCTCTAGAGGATGACTATGTTGCATTCGACCTTGGATGAACTCCTCCAATGATTATTCATTTTTCCTATATTTCTCATTTTCTAGAAGGAAGAATATCGATTAATTTTTTAATGTTGATAATTATTGAGGGAGTGCACTCAGGTCATAACTAACATGCTCATATTTTGAAGCAATATAATTATCATAATTGACATCCAATGAAGATTGCCTGGGATTGACTCGGCTGGAGAAATACGGCATTGAAAAAATTAATACTTCTCTCAAGCAAATGAATATTTGACAAAAATAATTTTTTTTTCTCAGTGCACGTGAAAAAAAATAGTGTGAATAGTACGGAATATGAAGGAAATGTTGTGAAACCGGAAACGAACAATCAAGCTAACAGAATGTCGGCCCATACGTACCTTGGATGTCGACATGTTTATTCACTTTTACTGAGAATTGAAATGAATCACAATGCACTGTTGATTACAGCACGACTTTGTCTTTTATAGTTCTACCGTGAATTCCTCAAAAGATTAGCAGGCATCGATAACAATTATATGTTATCCGCTAAATCTCTCATTATTTCGCTAATGAAATCGTCACTGTTCATGACATTCTGCTTAGAGGACATAACGTGTGTTCATCCCACGTGGAATGTAGGCTTCGGTAGAGATAAGATATTAATTAGTGAAATGTTAATTCCTATTCACAAATACGCAGAGATTTGTTATATGTTAGATATGCTTATAAATCAATTCAAATAAATGGAAAATCTATAGTGAAGAACAATCTGATAATAATATCTTCGTTTTTCGAAGACCACTTAGCTGGTAATTAACACTGGGAATTTATGGAAACACGTGAAGATATAAGAGTGGAGGTACAAAGCTCTTTCAGCTCGAGTGCAACTGAGACTCGACTCGGAATAACTAGCTAAGTTGAAAGATTCTAACAATTTAAGAAGATAATTGATTTTAAATATTCAATTTCGCAATCCAACAATAAATTTATAAAATATGTGGAAGTATTTATTACTTATTTTGTGTATCACCGAAGTGTTTACATCTGAAGTTATATCGTCAGGATCGAATGACTCAACGAATGGGACTGATTCATCCAATTCACAAAACATTGAAATTGGAACTACAATGAATTCATCAACACTGACAAAAAGACCGCCAAATGAGGAGGCAAAACTTCCGGTTGATTTACTGAGTGATGACGTC